TAAATTAAATTCCAAGGGGTTCTACGTCTAAAAATAAAGATTGACACTATAGGGAATTATCGTCATTTTTCTCTAATATCCTCTATAAAAAGTGTGCTCTAGAAAGAAAAACAAGTGTTCGCCGTAGACAGGCTTTAAAATGGTTATTATTTATCGAATTATTTTCATTGTTTGACAAGCTTTTAGAAAAGGTCGACGTCAATTATCATATTTTCATAGAATTTCAGATGAGTTTATTTTCGTCGCGCTCGATTATGAAAAAAAATAAATTCTTTTTAAATCGATGGTATATATTATCAAATGTTTTCTCATGATAAATATAGAAAAAAAGAAAAATAAAGTATTCTAAGGGACCAATTTTTCTTGTTACTAGATCGGACTAAATATTTCATGGTTTTTAAATATTTATGAACAAAATTCTTTCAAAATAAAAATTTTCATTAATGAAAATTTGGAAACAATTTTTTTTTCAATTAAAATAAAACATATTCATTGTTATGATTATTTGAAATTAGTGAAAAAAGATATAAATATATATGTATAATATTGTATTAAATAAATCAAATAATAAATTTTACTGTTAATTGATCTGTTGTATTCGATTGAAATACTTTTCTTGATACATTTGTTTTATTTAATGATTGAATAAACATTGGAGTTAAATTATTTATTGGTGATAAGGAATTATTTATATTTGATTGAATTGATGATATTGTTTTATATGATAAAATACCTTTTAATTCAATATCATTTCATAATGAGGATTTTGTTGAAAAAGTCATTGATGATAAATATTTAATAAATGATTTTGATTTACTTATTTGTTTACAAGTTTTTAAAAAAGGAATACTCATCTAATGAATAAACATGTAATATCCAATTAAAATCATGATATTTATCCGAATGATCATATAATACTAATAATTATTTAATATTAATTTACTAAAATAAATCCATTTATTTATTTATTTATCCATTTAAAAGAAAAATCGTTTATTGACATGATTGTTGAATTTGTTGTGAATTAAATTCATTTGAAATTAATCTGTTTTTTTTTCCAATAGTTAAGATATTTTCAATAGAATAATAAAATAATTTTAATGATAAATCAAAACGTGATTTACATGATCGAGATGAATTTTCTTTTCGATTTATTTTATTAACATTTTCTATTAAATCATATTGACTATTAAATAAATATTCACATTCATTTAAACGTTCCACAAGATCATCTAAATTTTTAATAAACAAATTTTATTTTATTCTTTTTATCAAATCGAACATTATTTCTCTAACTGACATGTTTTTAAATAATATATTATATTAATTAACTAAATAATTCTAATTTTCATATTTCTTATTATTTTCATTTTAATTAAAATAAAATTCATTTTTATATATCTAACGGATTATTATTAAAAAATGTTCGATAAAATAAAATCGTATATATATCGAATATTATTTTAAGTTAAGAAAATGTTCAAAATAAAAAACTTATCATAAATCAATTCGATTCGATTTAAAATATTTCGAAATGAAAATAATATTTTAATCAAGAGAAAATATTTATTTTATTCAACGATTTGTTTCATAATAAAAGAAAACAAAAAATAATCTTAAAAAAGTCAAAATCTAAGTTAGTTCTTTTTTCAAAAGTCTTTATTCAATTATTGATAAAATTTTAAATCTTATATATCATTCAACGATCATTATAAATAAATGTCAATATCATACAGATATTTAAGTCAATATATTCTCATTTAACGAGAAAACATCTTTAACGAAAAACAAAAATTCCTTTCTTAATTTAATTATTTTTCTTTATCAAAAAAGTATACTTAAAAAAACAAAAAGAATGTCTGATATAAATATAAATAAATATTTATTTGTTTAAGTTAATAAAAAAAAAAGAAGATAGTGATGATAATAGTCTCTGTCTAAAATATAAATTTGAGAATATTTTTTATTAGTTGAAATAATAAAAATTTAAAATCGATTAATAGAAAAATCTTTTAACGACTTCATTTATTTATCTCTCATTATCGATCGTCACGAAAATTATCTATCGGATTTATCTCTCGATTTCTAATAGAATTTTTTTGTCTTGTAAGTCTCTTGTTTATTTTAATGCAAACTATTTATTTGATTTACATCTAATTCCAATCGATAATATCAATTCTATATCGATCAACTCTCAACACATAATTATTATTAAAATATAGTTCAAATCTGATTATTAATCAGGTTGATTGTCTCTTTCCTATACAAATCAATATGAGTAAAACAAGTCTGACGGTTCTCTTATCATAGATTCTAACGTAACATTTAGCAAAGTACTGTTCTCTGTCTATTACCGAAAGTAAACTAATCATAGTTGACTTCTAGCTAGTCGCTGCTACACTGATAAAAAAGGTGACATTGACAAATTGAAATAGGTTTCGAATTAGTTTCAATTGTCGAAAGGCTTTTTATTTTCGATGTATGAATGGGGAAAAACGCAAAAGATAAAGTTAAAAGTTCGATTAAAAAAATCTGATGATGAAAAAACATGATGAAGGTTTGAGAAAGAAAAACAAATTTATTTTATGTTCGATTTGATAAAAAAAATTTGTTGTCCAATAATTGAAATAAGATTATTTGTTGGTTTTGTTTGTTGTTGTTGTTGAACAATTGAATATAATAATTTAATTAATTGATTAGCTTGAGATATGAATGTTAAATATTGATTAGCTTGAGATATGAATGTTAAATATTGATTAGCTTGAGATATGAATGTTAAATATTGATTAAAAGAAATTGTTTGATAATCATTCTATGTGATATGTTGATTTTCTGTTAATGATGTTAGATTTTGAATATCGATTTTCATTTAATGAATTACATAAGTCATTTAATTGAGATTTATTTTCTAAAGAAGTTCTTTCATCAATTATACAATTTGTTAAAACAATTTCATCATATTGACGATTGATATCACGAATTGTTTCCAAATAATTAAATTCATTTAAAAAATCTTCTTTTTTTTTATCAAGACGTTTAAATAAATCATTTTTTAAATGTTGTTCGATTATTAATCGACACATATCCGATGAACAACAATACATCATACATAATTTATCGGTTATATTTCCATCATTTGAACATAAATCATTTAAACAACAACTTTAACAAAAAAAACAACACTTTTATTTTTGTTTTATATCTTTTTATTCAATTTATTAGATTTAGTTGAATTAAATTATTTCGATTATTATATATTTATTCGTTTTGAATAAATAATTCAAATTAGTTTGATTTTGTTGACAACAAATATCGATTTCTAACATAATAAACAACTCGGACAATAGATAGTCGATTTATGAAACTGTACAGTTAATCTATCATCTTTTCAACGAAACATTTTCCATAGTTTAATTAAGAAAAAATAAGTAGAATAGATTGAATAACTCGTTTAATATGATGAAATATAATTTCTAATATGAATATAATCATTATTTGTAAATCTTGGTTATAATTATATTATTTATAAATGATTATTAATCGATTGTTCATAGTTATAACTATAATATCGTTTAAACGATTAAATTTCAAAACATGATTTGAAATAATCGTTAATCATATTCGAGTATTTACGTTTTCATCGATTAATAATCATATTGACAAGAAAATTGGTTTTTTTTCTAAGTTATCGATAGATATATATATGTGTTCGATAAAAAAAATATTTGAAATGATTTTTATTTAATAATATATTGATAAATCTCGAAATAAAATATTTAATTAAATTTAATTCTATATCGAACAATCGAAAATTGAATTTGTTTCAGATCTTATCTCAAAGACTTTTAAATAAAAATCCATATTATAAAATAGATTTTTATTTTAAAGAATTCCAACGAGTTTTTAAAAGTAAATTGACATAATCATAAATAAAAGAAAAAACTAGAAATAAGTAAATGAAATGAAGCAATCAGATCATCGATAGTTGATGGATAAATTGTTTTAGCTAATGCATATATTGTCCATATAAGTGAATATAAATCTTGATGTGAACATTTATTTAATTTATTTTTTGTATTTAATTTAGGATTTATTTGATTTGATGTTCTTTTATATTGATTTCCACCAAATATTTCAATAAATATTTTTGCATATTTTTCAAATATAATTGATGATATATTAAAAACATCTTCAACACTTGATCGATTTCTGATCGAATTGAATCAGGTAAATTGATCATATCTTCGTATTTATGTAATTTATCAAAAAAAAACAAATAATTCTAAATGATTAGCACTTTTGGGGGTGTGGGTGTGGGTATGGGGTGTGGAGGTGAGATGACACTGAAGAGAGCCACCTCAACGCCCACTCAGGATGTGAGTGTGGGTGTAAATCTGCATCTAGGCCTGTGTGTTGGTATTACGTTCACTCACACCCAAGATAGAGACGAAATGTTTTTGTTTTGCTGATTCATAAAGTGGGCAACAAACAAATATCCATGTTTCCATTCATTTACGCAAATTGAAAAAGAATCAGGAGGCCATCACTATCGTCCTCATTATCATTAAAATGGACAAGAAAAATTTAAAACCATATGCTAGTGGCACATCGTCATCTACGACAAGTAAGCCAAATAAGTCATCCACAGCTGCAGCACCAACGATAGTTGTGAGCAGAAGAGTTGGGTGTGGGTATGAGTGTCTTTTTTTGTTGAACATCCACATATACACCCTATTAGAGCTGTAACAGTATCAAGAAGCGATGAATATTTATGTGTCTATTCTTATCTACATAAAACTGTGCATGGGTATAAATAGAAAGTTTTTTTTCGTTTAATTTAGAAGAAGTCGATGACCATATAAAGGTCATACCTTCAATAATAAGTTGTTTCGTTGCAATAGGATTGTTATCAGTGACTATTATGATCACATCAACGATGAATTTCTTTCTT